CCGTCAGCATCCAGCACAGGAACGAGTGCCAGGGGCCGGTCGTTTGGATGTCCATACAGGGCGGGTCGTCCTTTGGGATGGAGCTGCCCGCTGCTCGGGCAGGGCAACGTGTACGGAGGCGATGGCCCTGGAGGGCAGTGGCGAGAGATGGCCGGCATCCAGCGGTAGCGCTCTCGGGCTGGCGAACCCGATTCGTAGGCCTCCTTGGGGGTCCCGGTCCCGCGATTGGTGGCCCCTCGCGCGTCGGCCCCCTGCGCGGCTGGTTGACACAAATAAAGGGGTGTGTGTGTGTGTGTGTGTGTGTGTGTGGCTGGCGCGTCGGGGTCCCCGGGGGCGCATGCCATGCAGGCCAGCGTACAAGTATGCGCCTATGGACCCATGGCCACATTCGCATGTGTGTGTGTGTCTGTGCGCGCGTGCGCACGTGCCCACGGGGGCCCAGCTGGTGTGTCTGTGTGCGTGCGTGTGCGCGCATGCGTGGAAGCGCGTATATGCCCGGAGGCCGAGGCCAACGCGAGCCGGGGCCACGACGACGCGTTGCCTGTGGAACGCCCAGGCCAGGGCCCCAGAGGGGACACCGCGAAATTAAAGCGCCCGGGCCAAACATTGGGGCCGCTGTGGGGCCCGTGCGCGCGCGCGCGCGTGCGTGTGTGCGTGTCTGCATGTCTGCGTGCGCATGCACCCGCGGCGGTCGGGGCGGCAGCGATTGCGCAGGCGGCTCGGGTCGCGGCGCTCCCGGGCGACATCTGCCCATTGGGCGGCCCATGCCTGCCTTGCAGCCTCGCCGCGCTGTGCGCAGGCACGCGTGTACCCCGCCGTTGGCCAGCCCCTCCTCGGGAGCCCCATAGGGCGAGCCTCTGGCCCTGAGCCCCGTTCTCCGGACTAGCGGCCGGTCTCCTCCCCCGACCAGTGTGACCCGAGACATTCGTGTCCGCCGGGCAGGGCGGGCCGACGCCCGTCCCCTCGGGGACATTACCCCTCGGGGAAAACGCCCCGCCCCTCGCCGCCCCTCCAAGCGTCCGCAGCCCCGGCGGGGTGTCCGGACGCCGTGACGCACGTACCCGCCGCCCCATCGAGCCAGCGTGTGCGTCTCGGCGCTTTTTTTCCTTTTGGCGCCGCCCCATCCTCGGCATGGACTCGGCGGCGCGGGCCCGCTATGGTTTAGGTTGGCCAGGCCTAGCCCCGGGTCCCTGGCCGATGATGGCCCCGGCGCGGGACCGAATCGACGGACTGGGCCACCGGCCGGCCAGGGTGGCCGGCGCGAAAACTCCCCATCGAGACGACGATATGAATGTCGCCGGCTGTGTGCTCTGGAAAGGTCCGCTCGGCCAAGCCGCCCGGCCCCTCATCATTCCTCGGGGCGCTTCCAGGCGCGCGCGAGAGATGCTCTCTCCCTCGCTCTCTCTCTCTCTCCCCCCCCCTCGCACAGCAGCCCTCCTGCAGGCACCCCCATCCAGCGTCGGGCCTCCCAGGGAAGCAGGACGCACAGACGGCGGGGCAGGCCACCCTCGCGGGCCCG